GAAAGGGACCCCTGAGCTGGGGATAAAGGAATCGGCCATCTGCCCAAGACCCTGAAGAAGACAGGGTGGATGAGCTTCACCTTGGGCCAAGTCATTCTCTGGCATTGGTGTCCTGGGGGGTTGTAGGTTGGTGTCCACCAGGCGTTATGGCTTGTTCAACCCTAAACCAAGCCTAGCTTCGCGTGATTGATGGACACAACCTGCCGGAGGCCCATAATTTCCCCCATGGACCATCCCAACGAGAGATGGAGAACTTGCGGGTCTTCCAGAAGTGACCTCCTAAGAATCTCAGCGTGGACAGCCAGAGAGCATGCTGGGAGTTGTGGTTCGGCCACTCTGGGGGAGGGGGCCAAGGCCTCCGTTTTGGGGGCAGGCTGTCACCATCGGCACCTCCTTCCTCTTCCTCGCCAAGCTGAGCCTGCGCGTCAAGGCGCTGAAGCGGCAGGTCGACGAGGCGGAAGAGGAGATCGAGCGGCTGGAAGCGGCGCGCAAGAAGGCCCTGCGGGAGCTGGAGGAGCAACACGAGACAAACGAGCAGCTGCAGAGCCGCGTCAAAGCCCTGGAGAAGGACCTCTGGTGAGCCGGGCGGTCGCCGAGGAGTCGCCTTTTCCGTGCACCCCCCGAACGTCTCTGGGCTCTGCGCCTGTTGCTAAAAGGGGTGTCCCCTTTACAGCTTAAAACATACCTACCTACCTGGTCCACCTGTCTGTCCATGTGTCTGTCCATTCATCCATCAGGAAGGGAGGGAGGGACAAGAAGTCTTTCAACCGGGGAGGGAAGGAAAAAGGCGCAGGTTCCTTAACAGCCTTAATTTGAAACGCTGGCCAAAAAACGTAGCACCAGGATATTGGGTTAAAATGGAAATCTGATTGTTGCAGAGGGAGCGGAAACTCCATGTACAGGGGCAGTTTATCTCAGAGTATCTGACAGCAGGGTCTGATTACCCTTGGAAGCAGATAATGTTGGGCCTTTCCTTTCCTCTGATCCTTGAAAAATGTCTCCCTTTTGGGCCCAGGAGGGTGGCCACCGTCCCGGGCTGTCCCCTAAGTGGACACCCGCTTGACCTGTGTCCTCCTGCTCTTTTGGGTCCAGGCGCAAGGCAGCACGCTCGACCGCCGAGTCCTCCCTCAAGGATGACCTACTGAGTTCGGATGAAGAGTTTGACAGCGCCTACGGCCCGTCCTCCATCACGTCGCTGTTGACCGAAGGGAATCTCCAGACCAGCTCCTGTTGATGCCCTTCGGCCACGCGGGGGAGAAACACCAGCGCTTTCCCGCGTGGCTTTCCTGATGCTTTCGAAGGATCCCCCTGCAAAGCAAACAGTGGGGGGCTGCCGATCCCTGCCCCACGGGGGAAGAATCCCACAATGGTGTCCCCAAAGCAACCCACGTGTAGATTTAAAAGAAAAAAAAAAACGGGGAGGAAAGATTGTTATTTTTGCTTGCTACGGGAGGGAAAATGAACGAGCTTTGGGAGCGGCGGGGTGCAAAAAGAAAAACGAAATCTTATTTAGTTCCAGCTCCCTTTTGATCTGGTTCTCAGGGCATTGGCGAATGATTAAATAACAGAGCCTCCTTTTTTGAAAGGAAAAAAAACCTTTTTCATGTATATAGGGCCTATAAATGTACATAGGTTTAGTTGCACGGAGATGGAAACGGATGTGCAATAATATTGCAGAACAATCCAGAACGATGAAGTTTGTGTCTTGGGTACGTGCGTGGAAATGAAGCAGAAGGGGCTTCGTGGTCCTCGCCTGTTCGAGCCCACCTGGAAGAAAAGTTTTGGGGTTTCCCAGCTGAGCGTGTCCTACATTGGCTTGGCTTACGTTCCTACCCCAGAAATCTCATCCAGAGGTGGCCTTCCAGATGTGTCTGCTTCACAGCCCCCCCCGGCCACTGGGTGGAGGTCGCCGGGCCTGTCGTTGCAGAGCATCTGGAAGACGAACCCTGTTTTTCCTGCCCTGCGCTTCTGTTCTGTTTTCCTGTTTTTCTTATCACCTCTTTTGAAGGAGTGCCTTCCCAGTCTGCTTCCCCAGAAGAAAGATAAGTCGAGTTGGGGTTCACGTGGACCGCTGGAGGCCGCCCAGACCTTCCCGCTTTCTCTTTTGAGGCGGTGAGCAGTTTTGGCACCCACAGGAGGGTGGCTCTTTCTCTCCAAACTTCCTGGTGTTTTGCTATGGTTAAGCAAGCCAGGATCTGAACAAGGACATGGACAGAACGTGAAACGGCTCTCGGAAGTTGGTTGGGCTTCCACCCAATTCGCCCAGGTCTGGTGGCAAGAAGTGGGCTTGTGCGAAAAAGAGCAGCAAATGTCTCTTTCTGACTTTGGGTGTTCTGTACAGGCAACCCCCCCTGTTTTATTTCTTCAAAACCGTTGGACCGAAAACGATCTTCATGCAATTATACACCTTTGGGTGCTCCTTTACAAGAATTCCGTCAAGAGGGACCCTGGTTTGCAGGGGGCCCCCATGAAGAGCACCCACATGCTTTACACCATCCGAGAGTTGGGGACAGAGGCCCCATTGTTTGTGCCTCAAAGGCCAGAGGCTGATGGGACTCGGAACCAAAATCCGGAGGGCACCAGGTTGCAGAAGACACCCTGCAGAACGGCGAGGGGGTCCTATCTTCCCAGCGAGAGGGACCGGCTCTGCGTTGTGAACATAAACCCCACAGCAGGGCCAAACTCAGTCGCGGACGGTGCCACGAAAGCCGCTGGGTTCAATAACGGGGGTCGGAGAAGGGACAAGCGGAGTGCAAAAAAATTGCACGGGACCCGTTTCACCATCCTCTCCTTTAATTGGGGCAGTCAACCTCACTTCAGGTAGCATCTCTCCAGTGATTTTGGAGGCAGAGCTGCAGCTTGAATGTACCTATCAGAGCGTGCCCTAAACTGCCTGTTTTGGAGGCATTTCTTCCTCTTTCCCCCTTTGAGAACGGCAAGGTTGCCGCACTGAAGTTTCCCTCCTGTGTTTTTTCAGCCCTGGATTGTGTTTTCAGTGACTGGTAGGTAACGTATCCGTCTCGGCACGTCAACACCTCCTTGGCATCCTTGCGCGATACGGATTCCTGTCTGGTGAGGCTGGTTTTTAAGGCAAATGAGCTGGCAGAGAGGAATTTTTGCTAGTTTACAAAACATTGCAGCGTTACCAAATTTTTCCAAGGGCTGCTTCTCCCGGTTTGCTCTCCCGGGACCCACCTCGAGCCCTGCAAAATCACCTCTCCAGGCCACGCCTGGCACCAAGTGCCTTGCACCAAGAACTGTCAGAGCAGAGGACACTTTCTGTGTTTTTCCTGACTGGCTCCACTTTGTCCCAAATGGGCACAATGGAAACGCAGCGCTGTTGGCACAGGACAGATCTGTATCTTGGCCCTGGGACAGAGAGGCCCAGCGAGAGGCACCCTTTGGCCGAGTTGTAGCTTGTGTTGGGCTCCAAAGAAGCGGTGTACCGAGGCAAAAATGGGATTTAAAGGACAGAGACCAAAACAAGAGCATTGAGACCCCAAACTGAGGCTATTTGTTGGGCCAACTTGAGGATCGTGAGGTTGCCGGCGATGGAGGTAACTCAGACATTCTTTGGAGACCCCCTTGGGAGAAAACCGCTGAATATTTGAGCTTTGAGCCGTTGGCAAAGTTGAGCTGAATCCTCGGGAGAAATCAACCCGGCTGTTAAGCCCTCCCCATTCTGACTCCGGAGGCCAGCTGGGGGCCTTGAGGCTTTGCTAAAACGATGCCCCTTCCGTGGTCCTCTCTTTGAAACTCCCACGGGGGCAGAGACGATGCCACCGAGGAGTTAAATTTCCTAGAATGGTTTCCAGATGCCACTGTGGTTAATTTAACCATGGCCCCAAGATTTAGGAACCAAGACCCGGGGCGGTGGTTTGGCCCACCTTTTGAGACTGCAGGAAAGCCCCACACTGGCCCCAGGGTTGTGGGGCGCTGGCAGTGGGAGCTGACCGCCTTCTTGGCGAATGTGAGCCCCCTGATTCTCTACCACCTGCCAACGTGGTTTTTCTTCTGCAGACCTTCAATCCAGGGTTGGAAAGTGGGTTTCCGAGGAATGGCTTTGGTTTCTTCTCGGTTCGCGGCAAGGCATCGCTGCTAAAACAGTGCACGTTTGCTCTAGCCAGCCCCGTTCACCGCAACGTTGTGGTTAGACGGCTTGTGGTGCGTTTTGGATCCTCAATCCACCAAACGTATGGTGGTTTGGAAGCTACATTGTGGTTTAGCGGGCAAGTCGATCCACAAGTCACAGCTGTCTTGGGAACACCACCGGCCGTAGAGTTGGCTTCTTCGCGTGGGTGCCACGCTTGCCCAGTTAGAGTCCTTTCCGCCCCCAAATTCTGGGGAGTTTCAGTCTGACCCTGACCCCTTGGATGACGACGTTCCTTCAGGCCAACCGTTCATTTTTAAGGTTAGCAAAACTTCAGGGGCCGGGCATCTTTCGCCGTTCCTGCAGGCCGCCTCGATGCACGCCGAGGATGGTGGCAATAAAATTTTTAAGCCATTGCCCGGGACTCTGGGACTCTGCTTCTGCAAACTTCCAGACCGAGTGATCCAGTTGATTCCCCTGGGAATAGCAATCGATAGGAGGCCTCAAGGAACGGCGGCCGTCTGGAGGTTTCCCAGCGAAGCAGCGTTCAGATGCGGGCACAACTTGGAGCGCTCTTCTCTTTTTTGTTTCATTTCATTTCATTTCATTTCATTTCATAACGAGTATTCTTTTGACGGTAACGCCAATAGATGGGGGAGAGGGCAAACCCCATCGAAGCGTCGAGTCAAGATGGGGAGGCCGGCAACGGAGCTGTACGGTTTCCAATCGCTGCTAATGCAATCTGGGCTGAATTTTAAAATGGGTCGTTTTTGATTTCCCCAGAGCTTTATTTTTTCCCCCCTCCCTTGTCTCGGAATAAAATAAAAACCCTCCTACGTTGATTTTTAAAATAAAAGAGCTATATTTATCCAGTCGCTTGACCACTAGTCTTTCCTCCTGCGGTTTGCTTCGTGGTGTTTTTATCGCTGGCAGGTGGCTTTTTCATCCGCAGGCTGGCTGGGGAATTCTGGGAGTTGAAGTCCACCCATCTTAAAGGGGCCAAGGTTGAGAAACTCTGGCTTATGGGCTTGAAGGCGTTGCATGAGCCCAGAATGTGGCGATTTCTTCGCCAAACCGTCCCTGGCCTTACCTGCCCTCCCAACCCATCTCGTGCCTCTGAGGACGGGCAGAGTTCTTTCCAAGTTGCGCTGGGGGGAGGAAGGGGTGCCTCGTGTTCAGTGGGGTCGATTGGGGCAGGATGCCCTCAAGGATTCCCCCCTCCCATCCCTGCCACCGACTCACAGAGTGGCCCTGGCCACGGCACCCGTTGCCTGTTTCCCTTCCGTGGAACACAAACACAGGTGAGTCACACTCAGCCACCTTCATTCCCTGGATGTGGTGGCGAACCTTTGGCCGGTGTGTCAGAGGCTGAAGATGACACCCTCGGTCTGTGTTCTCCTCCGGATCCCTCCGGGCAAGCGGGGAGGCTAATTCGGGATTCCCCTTTTCCTCCATCTCGTGAAGCCGCTTATTACCTTGAAACGACCCAACAGGTGATGCGGAGGAAAATCAGCAGCCTTTTCGGCGGTTTCCTGTTGGGTTCGTTTCCTTCCCTCCCGGCGCTGAGAAGAGGAGAGAGAAACTCATTCTCGGGAGATGGAGTTTGGCTCTGATGAATGAAGCACAGGAAAAAAACCAGAAAAACCCCGAAAAATCTGGAGTCGCGCCCAAAAAATTGGAGAGGATCCACGATATTCTCTGCCCCTCACTACCCTTAATGCCCTCCTGCACCCATCTAATGCTTCTACCCCCCCTTTTAGATACATACTTTGTTTTCTACTTTTTTAGTGATGATAATCCTATTTTGAGACCTTGATGTATTTGCTATGCTTCCAAATGGACCGTACCCCACGCCCCTTAAGCTGGTCTTTGACCACAATAAGGATTTGACTGGCTATTCTCTGCCTCTGCCCTTGTCTGCCAAAAGGCCTACCCGCCACGGTGGGCGTGAAATGGAACCTCCATGGGCAGAGGCAGCGTATCTCCGCGGGTCAGGCCGCAAGCAAAGGGCCGTTGTCCTCGTTTCTTGCTCCCAGGCGCTCAGTTACCCAATTAGCCATTTCACTGATTAGATCAGTCGGTTCTTTGTTCCAGAACAGGAGCATGATGTCAATTCTGAGCCCGGTCGAGCTACTTTCTCACGCGCCCCAAACCTGTTGGGTACGTTTTCTGCAAATATCACCCAAGGCCTAACATCTGAGGCAGCCCCGGTGACTCACGGCTCGCCGGGCGAGAATGACCAGCTTCGTCAAGGCAGGAAAAGACATGGGGGGGGGCGGGGGGTAATTGCTCTCCTTTCCCATGTTTGCACAAGTGTGTGTGTAGAGGACACACTGATTACCTCCCGGCCAAGTGCAGGAACTAGGGCAGCGTGCGTGCCAACCCTTGCAATGGAAACTGACCGCTGGGGGTGTGTTTGCTCGTTTGCTAGTGCAACAGCTGCGTGCAAAGTCTGGTGGAAAATCATTATATTTTGCAAAGGAGGTCAGGGAGGAAGAGGAGGAGGAGGAGGAGGAGGAGGAGGAGGAGGAAGCAGCTGCTGCTATTGGGATCTGCCAATTATCTCCCACTTTCAAAATCTGGACCAAACCCTATTCTTTCCAGTATTATATTGATTATTAGTTAGAATAAAACACATGGATTTCGGAGGGGCCTCCTTTCCCTCCCCGCTGTCGGGGCAGAGCCACGTTCGCTAAAGAAGCAGGTCGGCAGCACCACGTTGGGTGCCCACGTTTGGTTAAGAGGTGCGAGTGCCGGCCGGGGTGCCACGAGGCTCCTCCTGCATTTTCCTTCTCCGAAAGCCTCCCCCAAGTGGGAGCAGATGGGCGATAAGAAGAAGGCTGGCCCCCCACTCTCCCTTAATTATTTGGCAGACATGGGCTGCTTCCTCCTCCAACCGGGTTCTCAGTCCTTGTGACTCAGCTGAACCTGGTTCAAGGGCCGGCTCGACCATCTGGGGACAAGTTCACATTTCATCATCCGATGCCACTTCCTCTCTCCGAACGCGGCTCCCAAGTCCAGGTCTTCCCTGCCTTCTCTTTCCCAAAGTCTCCCAAACTAACGAGGGTCCACTTCCCCGCGTTGGGAAAGAGCTTCCCCCGTGAGACTTCTGCCTGTCACGCCCCGCCGCCTCTGTTCAAGGCCAGCTCCAGCTGGTGCAGTGCCCGGGGCAAGGATGCCAAGGACCCACCTTAGCCCGAAGCGGGAAAAAGTGGGAGGGCCTGCAGCTTCCTCACCCTGGCGGAGGGGAACCCCCATGTGCAGGAAAAGTCTACAGTTGTCCTCCCTTGTCTTGACCAACTCTGCCCAGAGGAGAACCCAGCGCTGGGTGGGCTTGCGGGAGGGCAAGCTGGCGATCCTTTCTGGCAAACCAGCGTGATGGTGTTGTTGTTATTATTCTTTTATTCCTTGGGGGCACTCTGCCCAGTTTGGAGAGAGAAACCAGCTGCTCCAGTCTCCGCCGTGGAGCCAACCCCGGGCCGCTGGTTCGTGCTGGGTAAACAGGTGCCAGGGGGCGGGCAACTGCTCTCCTGCGGACGGGATGACCTCATTTCTCGGGAACGTAGCAATTACGGCAGGCTCAAGAGGAGGAGGGCAACCGGCCGGCGGGGGAGAGAGGCATCCTGGCGCAGGATGGAGAGGTGGAGGCAGGACCGGCTGGTCGGCTTCGGCGGGCAAGGGAGAAGATGGTGGGGCGCAGAGGCGCCGAACCCGAGAGAAGTGATGGCGCTCTGGAGCCGGACCAGGAGGCTCTCCATGCCAGCTGGAGTGTTGGCGACCCAGCCGGGCCCTCGTCTCGCTGGGGAGGAGAAGAAACAGTGGCGGTGCATCCAGGTGAGTTTCCAAGAGCATCGGCGGAGAGAGGGCGTTTTGGGGAGGGGGAGAGGATTTTTTCTGTCGATTCCAGCAGCAGGGTTGGCAGCTGGTGGACCCTCTGCCGCGTCTGGCCGCTTTGGGCCAAAAGGAGAAAAACGAACTGTTCCAATGTCCGTGCGGCTTCTTGGCGCTGCGTCTTGTCCTGCTTTTAACGGGGTGGTGTCCAAATCGGGAAGTGCCGATGGGTTTACTCTTCCCTTGCGAGCAGGGAGGCTTCCCTGGATCGGTTCTGACCCTAAATGGAGCCTCCATGAGCAGTACAGTCTACCGTGGAGTTCCAGACACAGCGGAGGCAGGCTCCTCGGTCTTTCCCCTCCGATTTACAAATCCCTGCAGTTGTTTCCGAAGGGAAAAAAGTTCTCTCTGGCTGTTTATTTTGACGTTCGGTTTGCTGAGAAAACAGGCCTCTCTCTGCCGGCGCGTCGCGTTAACAGGAGCCAGGGTTGACGAAACCACATCGAAGGCAGGTCTGACAACCTTGAAAGGGAGGCTAATTTATGAAAATTCCTGCCGCGATGAATGCATTTAGCTTTCAAATTCCTTCCCGCTCTGTTCCAACAGATCCAGAAGGGAAATAAAATAAAATAAAAATTGCATTTCGGTTGCTATTCGGCCAGGATCCTCACGGCCTGCGTTTTCAGGGGCGGGAGCGGATGCTCGCCTAGAGTTGTTATGAATATCCGCTACCGTGCACGAGCTGCTGATTCAAAAACTCATCGCGGGCTAATTGGCTGACTTTTAATCCCTTCCCCGTCGATGAAGCAGATTTGCATTTAGGCAGCACTGCTATGCAATTTTGGAGAGATCCAGGGGAACGAGCGGGGATAGCCCTTTGGTTAAAGTTCCCAACAATGAAAGGAAAAACTGTCCACCGTCCGTCCATTTCTCGTGCGCCTCTTTTGCTCACAAGGGTCCAAACCCCCATTATCTGGAAGTCCCAGCCCAGCGGATTGAAACAAACCATCCAGGTTTGTTGACATGCCTCCGTGTCTCCTTGGAGGACCTCGAATCCGGAAAAAACAAATCAGCGGAGCCGTTCACAAGTGTTCGCAAATGCAGAAACGCGGCAGCCACGTTAGCAGATGAAAATTCCAGGCGGCGGAAGGCGAAGGTGGTCAAACGTTGGTTTGCCGTTGAACGGTTGCAAAGGCCCCTCTTTCCGTTTAAGATGCACGAATCAGCTGGCGAGAACAACAGTGCCAGCCACCAACATTGCGCGTGTGAACGGGGAGAGAATCTAGTCGTACTCGTTGAACGAGATGGCGTTTCTTAGCTGTTTGTACGCTCTTGCTTCACGCTGGGATAAAAGGAACAAAATACGTTCGGTGCCTACAAAATAGGTCAGCACGCCGAGCGCCTCCGGGCCCGTGATGGGATAATTAAAGAGGGCATAAAGGAATAAATGCCATTTGTTTTGGAAGTGAGTAACTGGATTTACGCATCGCGCTCCGCCGTAATAGAGCTCGATGGGTTTATTTTGGCTCGGTTTGTTTCGCGAATCCAGCCTCTGTGGCTTGCACGGTAGGGTTTCCAACAAACTGGGATAGGGGATCACGGTCTGTTGGGTCTGATTTGACCAACCAAGGTTAAGCCCACCCTGGTTCAGGCCAGGCGTGAACTCGGTCCACGTGCAAAATGGTCTTCACTGCCTTCCATCATCCGTGGTTCGGGGAAGAGAAGCTGCGTTTGGAGGGGAAAGGTTGGGTGTGCGCATCGCGCCAAACCAGAGTTTGATGCATCGGTCGCCAGGGGGCTGGGCTGGTGCCACTGAGCCACAAACCAGGGTTTACAAGCCACAGGGAGAGCCAAGCCAAACCACAAAGGTGGGGTGGTGGTGAGTGTTTGTGGTGGGAAGAAATGTTTGCAAACCCAATCTGAAGCCTGGCACCGGACCAGGGGGTAGAGTGGCAAAGGGTGGATCCTCCCCGGAGGAGAGATTTTTCCCCCCAGGAGACGGAGCAGAAACCTGGATCTGTTTTGAGCAACGTGGAGATTTTGGCAGCGGATCCCCTATAATTTGGCCTGCAACCTGTCTTTCTCACCCGCCCAGAGGGTGGTTTGAGACAGGTGCTGCTCGGAAGGAGCAGAAAAACAAGCCAAGGGAAAAGGGAAATTCAGGGGTACGTTGCTGGCAGGTGGTTCGTGGCTGCCTGGCCGTCTCCCCCTTTTCCTCGCCCCTCCAAGAAGCCCCCCTTCACAGGGCTCTTGCAGATCCGTAAATTTGTCGTCAAACTTGGTGGCGGGCCGGAACCAAGTGTGCCTCTTGGCATGGTCCTTCTGAATGCTGGTCTGTAGAGGAAGGCTGGGGGTGGATTGCTCGCTGGCACTTTGCCCATGCTCAGAGACCCCTGGGGCTCTCTTTCCACTTGGCATTTCTGAGGAACGGGGCGGTCTTTGCCCCCCATCACGCCCCAACGCACAGACCCCGTTGAACCGCGATCCGAAAGCGACAGCTGACGTTTCTGGCCGCCGGTGGGACATGAGACGACCCCACTTAACATCCGCTGTGGCGCGAAGCTAACCAGGTTGCTCGTCTTGGGATCACGGGGCCCCCGCGCAGGGCAGGGGGATGTGGGCCCCCTGGACCCAGAAAGCTGGGCCGGAAACCGGATGCAGCTAAGGCAGCTGGCGAAGTTCAAAGCACGTGTTACATTCCCTGCCTGCCCGTGCCGTGGCAGAGGCCGTGATGCCAATGAGTAATGGCCTTATGGAATTCGGTGCCACAAGACGACGTGGCCAGCCAGGCTTCCCAAGGAGGGCAGTCACGAAGGAGGGCCCGTCTGCTGGGAACCTCCGAATATTAAATGCCAGGGAGGTTTAGTTTAGGAAAAGGTTAACGATGCATGGCATAATATCTAATAACGAGGCATAATTCTTCCATGGGTAGACGTTGCATCTCCCCGCCTGGCTTCCAGCAGGGTTTGAGATGGGTGGACTTCAACTCCCAGAATCCCCTGGCCAGCGTGGAATTCTGGGTGTGGAAGCCCACCCATCTTCAAGCAGCCAAGGTTGAAAAACCCGGGCTTGTTTTTATTTCGTTAACGTTTATTCAGTCGGCCTCGATGCCCACCTCGACCCACCACGCCGAGCAGCACGTCGCCCGGGACGTTTTTCACAGCCGTAGAAGCCCGGGGCAAAGTCCCTGGGAGCTGGGCGGTGCGTAAATTCCAGAAATGCTTGTTATTATCCTAGCCGAGAAAGGAAGTGGTGTGAACCTTGGCATTTCAGGGGAGAAAAGCAATAAAGAGGTAAAACGCCTGGCGCTTTGGGGCAGCACCACACCTATCCGCCTCGATCACCGCCTGGGAAGGATCTCCTGTGGCTTCCGCTCCCCGGCCGGCCGCCGTTGGGTGTTGTGGTGTGTTGTTTTACAGATGACGGGATCTGCCGCGGCTAAATCATTACGATGGACAGGAAGGTGCGCTTTAAAAGGGCTCCGATTATGGTTTTCCGTCTTCGGCGATGCTGGCTTCTTCCCCGTCCTTGGAGGAGCTGCTCAGAGTCTGGGCCGGAGTTTCTCAACCTGGGCAGCTTTAAGCCGTGTGGACTTCAACTCCCAGAATTCCCCAGCCAGCCATGCTGGCTGGGGAATTCTGGGAGTTGAAGTCCACACGGCTTAAAGCATGCCAGCTGGGGAATTCTGGGAGTTGAAGTCCACACGGCTTAAAGCATGCCAGCTGGGGAATTCTGGGAGTTGAAGTCCACACGGCTTAAAGCATGCCAGCTGGGG